ATTATATTGGCTACATCAATCAAAATAATGCACCATTATATTGGCTGCATCAATCAAGATAATGCACCACCATATTGGCTGCATCAATCAAGATAATACACCATTATATTGGCTACATCAATCAAGATAATACACCATTATATTGGCTACATCAATCAAGATAATGCACTATTATATTGGTTGCGTCAATCAAGATAACAGATTGGTTGCATCAATAAAGATAATAGATTGGTTGCATCAATTAAGATAATACATCATTATATTGGCTGCAATAATTAAAGTAATACACAATTATATTGGCTGCATCAATCAAGATAATATACCATTATATTGGCTGTATCAAGCAACATAATACACCATTATATTGGCTGTATCAAGCAACATAATACACCATTATATTGGCTGCATCAATTAAGATTATGCATCATTATATTGGCTGCATCAATTAAGATTATGCACCATTATATTGGCTGCATCAATTAAGATTATACACCATTATATTGGTTGCATCAATCAAGATAACAGATTGGTTGCATCAATAAAGATAATAGATTGGCTGCAATAATTAAAGTAATACACCATTATATTGGCTGCATCAATAAAGATAATACTCCACTATATTGGCTGCATCAATCAAGATAATACTCCACTATATTGGCTGTGTCAATCAAGATAATACTCCACTATATTGGCTGCATCAATCAAGATAATACTCCACTATATTGACTGCATCAATAAAGATAATACTCCTCTATATTGGCTGCATCAATCAAGATAATACTCCACTATATTGACTGCATCAATAAAGATAATACTCCTCTATATTGGCTACTTCAATCAAGATAATATACCACAACATGCTGATGGTGATTAGTTGGTGCCAGTCGAAACTTGTCGGTTTTTAATATTGCAAGTTTTTTATTTATATTTATTAATGCTTATTATAATTTAGGGATTTTAAGTTAATATCAAATTTTTTTGTTAAGCTGAGCTAATTAAGCGAAATGAAAATAATGCGTAGAATATAAGATTAACTCATTAAACTTTTAGAAACTAAATAGACTTGTTTTTACTCACGTCGCAAACTTCAAACATCTTACATTAAACATATATGAGAAAATGTCTGAAAGTTACTCGATAATTCTAATTTTGAAACGTATTTAACTAAGTTTCAGTTTCACGTCTTTATTAAATTAATCACACACTTTGTTACACCAATGTGACATGTGACGTTTGGTAGAAGGACAATATCGTAATCAACTTAAGCTCCTCATTTAAGAAATCGTAAATATATCTGGTAATACAAACCGTATATGATTTTATATTCAAATATTTTCCTTAATGTTATTAAATATCTTATTTACTTGTATTCAATCCATATGTTGATATAGGTTGATATTAAAAAATGGTATTCTAGATATTCAGTGAATCTTATTACAGACGAAACTTCTATCAGACTTTTACATGATTTTAACCTGGAAGCTTCACTATTTAAAATATTTGTATAATGAAGAAATAAACACAGAGGAGTAATACTGACCAAACTGTAGAAACTCACAAGTCCTTTACCCAAACCTAGTTTCTATAGTTTGTAGTGATTAATCATACTTGAGTGTGCTTGTTGTTTACTTTTCGTACCCCCCAGCGGCACAGCGGTATGTCTGCGGACTTACTACGCTAGAAACCAAGTTTCGATACCCGTGATGGGCAGAGCACAGATAGCTCATTGTGTAGCTTTGTGCTTAACTTCAAACAAATACTTTTCGTAAACTCAGAATAGAACTAGAAGTAGACCCACACAGAAATGTTAAATCAAAAAGCTTCGCGTACTCACTTATGAGAATAGAATTGTTGATGCGTGATGAGAACGGGAAAATGAGCTGGTTTGTAACATACTCGGCGCTTACTGAAGAATACCTGTCATTATTTACAAAATCATGAACTTTACAGAGATAAAAAAAAAAAATTACTGCCAATGTTTCAGCTTTTCGAACAGCTTTTCCAAGCTCTGATTTTTTAACTGTTTCGTAATTCAATACTCTTTATTTTTAATAAACAGCACAGTGTTTGTTGATTACAAAAGTTTTATGTTGTGTAATTGACTACTTCTTTCCACCTGTCATACCCCTTTTTAGTAAGCTTATAATCAAAACGTTTTATATTTTTATATATATTTAGACGGATAGGGTGAAATTACAAAAATACTAATTTAAGTATTTGGTGTATTCAAGAAAAACGGTACCTTATGAGGAACAGTGATCTGCGCGAGATCCAAAGGTTCAGGTATACCCTTTCCTAATTCTGAATTACTTATATGTTTTACAGTAACTAGTTAGCAGCACTCACCGAATAATGGGATTAACTGTCACATTTATGATGCATCTGTAGCTAAAAGTACAAATCGCTTTTATTGGCATATTGCAAGCTCGAACCTTGAGCCTTCATATCCGCAGCCCAGAACTCTAATCGATAGACCACGTCCGGCTATAAAAATACTGAACAGATAAGACATTATTTGATATAAGTACTTGTGGCTTTTTAATGACATTAGTAAATTCTGGTAGCTCCAAAATATCCATCTTTATTAAAGCTATGTGAAAACCTAAGCATTAAGATGACAATGTTTTTAATATCATCCATTATGTGATATAAGTACTTGTGGCTTTTTAACGACATTAGTAAATTCTGGTAACTCCAAAATATCTGTCTTTATTAAAGCTATGTGAAAACCTAAGCATTAAGATGACAATGTTTTTAATATCATCCATTATGTGATTTTGTATTGGAAATGCATCCACTTTAAATCACAAACTTTTGTATTTAGTATTTTCTTTTCAGTCTAAACTAAGGGAGTTTTGTTACCTTCAGGAAACCATCACGCGAGTGAAGTTTTCCAGAGCTTTAGAAACTTTCTCATTAAGTGTAAGAAGTTATAATCACTCTATGTAAAACAGCTTCTAATAGTAAAAAACAAATGTTCATCAAACTAATTTTTATCATCCTCGTATATTTTTGTTTTCTCGAGGCGTATTCATTTTCAAACAAATTTTAATTTCCGGACTTTTTATAACGGAAAAGCCAGACATGTAATAACTGTTTACTCAGTGCACCACTACCGCGCCAGCAGAAATCCATTCCACAAGCTTTCCGTAGGTCTGCTTGTTTATAATTATGCGTAGGTTGTCGAAATCTATAAAGTTTTCTTCGGTAGCGTTGTAGGAACAGCTTCACGTTGTTCCAGAAGGAACCAAAACACGTGCAAACAGAACGTATTTTCTCAAACACCGGAAATTGATTACCATTTCTAGAACGATTAACGCGACCATAACAATAATTTATATAACTACAAATTTACGAAAAATTTCCGATTGCGAGTAATTAATGTCTCAACACTTACAAACAATTTATATTTGACAAATGACTAGTGTAAATAGACTTTTCTCTTAAATTAATCTTCAGGAGAGATTTTTGTGGTTCATGTTACTACTGTTACGAAGGTAAGTTTTATTTACTGTTTTTGTCATAATATAATTTCCATTATTGTAGCACTTAAAAAATCTTTAACAGGTCTACTAGCTCTTTGCTGTAATGATATATCAAATAAAATGTAGAAGAAATGAGCATACTAATAATACTATATAAAATGGAGTGTACAGGTGGTGTATTGTTAAATATATTTCAAATGAAGTGTGGTGGTAAGCATGTTAATAATGCCACTTCCATTGTAACACAGAAATTGGATTATCAATAATAATAATAATAGTCCAAATGAAGTACATAAGTGGTATATTAATATTAATAATAATTCAAATGAAGTGTAGAAGTTGATATATTAATAATAAATATATTTTCATTGAAGTCTAAAGGTTATATATTAATAACTAGTAAAGGTACCCTGCAATGCTGGGCTTATATAGTAATGTAAATAGAGACTTCCAATACTTTGAGCCTAGCATACGAAACATTCGTCCCTGGCGCAAGTATCCATGGCATTAAACGTCACTTTATCATTCTCATTTGATATCGGCTTCACATATTTTGGTTCTGGACTATTCGCTCAGTTGAACCTTCATTTACAGCATTAAGGTGTTAAAATTGAAATAGCTACCATACTCAAACCGTTCGTCCAATTGATAATCAACTTAAACTAGGATTTTTAAGTGGATTCAGTTTCACTGAAATTGTTTCAGCCAGTTCTTCATCTTGTGACACCAGACAGATGGACAGGTCAGCTTTATATATATATATAGAGAGAGAGAGATAGAGACTTTCAAATTGAATATAAAAGAGGAAAATTAATATTACCACTTGATATTGGATGTAGCAGTAGACATAATAATTATAATATTTCCGATAAAGTGTAGAAAAGTTTATATGATAAAGATAACGAAAATGCTTCATTTGAAGCGTAGAGGTGAATATATGCATAAAGATCTCCAAATGCAATGTTAAAATGGATATTATATTAGCAAAACTACTTCAAATGAAGTTTAGAAGTGAATACGTTAATTAACCTATTTAGAATAAAGCGTAAAATATATGTATTACAAATATTATTCTATTTAAAAAAAGTTGCAATTTAAATGCCGAAAACCAGAGAATGGAGAAACAAAGAAGAATATGAAAACAAACTGCAGTAACTTGTTTTTATAATAATTATTTTGCTTACATCTTGAATGACAATGTTCACACAATATTGCGTTCCAGGGTCATGCAGTATTATGGTTAATAATAAATTATATCTTCTCAGTATAACACTAATAAACTGGTTTTGACGTGAAGGTGATTATTGCCATCTATTTTTCATCATTTCGTTTTGTGTCAAATAAATATCTATGGATATAAGAGTAGTAATAATAAATTACTTGTTTATATCCTAAACGTATCCCTTCTTTTCTTGTCAAGCAGATTACATTATATTCTAAAAATACAGCTGAACGGAAGAGTCCTTTAGATTTCGTATAACCAGTTAAACGTAATCCATTTGTTCGTCATTTTAGAGCGAGAAAAAGAAAAATGGAGAACAAATCCTGGAGACGTTGCTTTCTAGTGATCAAGCTGAAGCAGCACTAAAGGAACAAGAAGAATGTTTTGGAAAGAGATGTCTGCATAGTGAGCAGTGCTGTCCAGGATCCGTGTGTGTTGATGTAGATGGTGGTAAGTGTGCGCATGTTTAGTCATTCATTTGTATCTCTATCTATCAGTTGAGTTATTTATCTACCTATCTGTTTATCTTTCGGCTGATTTGTCTGTCTACCATTTCATAATATCACGAATGGTAAATATTGAATATTTATTTTGTTTTTAGTTGGGGAGTAGATGACGAAAATAGTTTTTAAACTTGGTGTAATTTTTCTTTCTCAAAATCACAATTACCAGTATATGTATTGTGTTAATCAGCTTGGTAACCAAGTTACCTTCCATAATTTTGTTGTTATTTTACATCAGGACGTAATTCATAGAAATCTGTTATATTGTTGATTGGTAATCGCCAAGAGAGTACATGATAAGACTGAGATCATTTCTTAATTGTGAACCCCTTTGAAAATAAACAGTTTATCGAGACTGAATGTTAAAAGCACAAAAGGCTCAAAATAACTAAATATCGTTAACTTCCTTTTCTGTGTTCCTCTAGTATCAACTAATTAATATATAAATTTATTTTTCTGTTATAAAACTCATGTCTGTTGCTTTTCCTAGTTGCTTTAAATAGTGCATGTATATTTTTATGGTTCTATTCTCTTTGTTTTTTTTTCAAAATGTTGCAACATGAAGAATAATTTCAATTAGACGATAACAATTTTGTTCAATGCTTGACTCCTAATTTATTTTACCATTAGCAATTCTTGTGAACTTTCCACTAAAGCTTAACACAACAACTTGTATTTTCAAGTTCCTATTTGGATTAGAGAAGAAACTGGAGTGGAGTTGAAAATCTTTTCCGAATATGTCTTTCTAAATGAAAGCGCGTTCAAGCGTTTTTTGTTTTTTTCTTTGCTAAAAAAGTTTTCAAACTTCTGTTTGTAGATGAAAACACGTTCAAGTATTTCCTTGTTATAGTTGAAGAATCACCGTGTACTCAGGATTTTAATTAAATGTCAAAGCATCTCTAGTTCAGCTTATTAAAACTTGATAAAATATGATGAAAACGAATGCTTGGAATAATTTCTCTTGGATTAAACGCAACTTTTTATGCCCATCTGAGATGGGTATTTTAATGTCACATCAACTGAGATAAAATTGTTTACTTCAATATATTATTTTCATTAACTGATTTTAAGACGCACTCTATCATATATATAGAACGCACTTCGAAAATTATGATCTAATTCAGTTTTCACATACAAATGGGTTTGATCTATTTCTCTAGAAATATGTATACTTTAATGAAAGAAATGGTATAGGAGACAAAGGACTGTTGTTTGTTTTTAATAAATTTTACTATTATCTTTCTCTTCCACTTTTTACTGCATACTTTTAATCAATAGACAAAATGGTTGGAAGTTACAAGAACTTTTATAAACCTAGAGATTTTTGTTGGTGCTGTCGATAGGAGCAAAATTACCTCATTGAAACTCATTTTTCAAAAGAGAAAAACAAACATTTTTTTTTCGTTTAAAGTGATCTGATTTCTGATCTTCATAACGTTTCGTTTTGTGCTTAACTATTTCAGACTACTATTTACTACCCTCTGTTCCTTAACCGATAAATGAGATGTTAGTTACATGACGTATTGTAATCTTTATTTGTTAACCTCCAGTCTTTAACTGATAAATGAGATGCTAGTTACATGATATACTGTAATCTTTATTTGTTACCCTCCAGTCTTTAACCGATAAATGAGATGCTAGTTACATGATATACTGTAATCATTATTTGTTAACCTCCATTCCTTAACCGATAAATGAGGTGTAGTTACATGATATACTGTAATCTTTATTTGTTACCCGCCAGTTATTAACCGATAAATGATATGTTAGTTACGTGATATACTGTAATCATTATTTGTTAACCTCCATTCCTTAACCGATAAATGAGATGCTAGTTACATGATATACTGTAATCTTTATTTGTTACTCTCTATTCCTTAATCGATAAATGAGATGCTAGTTACATGATATACTGTAATCTTTATTTGTTACCCTCCGGTCTTTAACTGATAAATGAGATGCTAGTTACATGATATACTGTAATCTTTATTTGTTACCCTCCGGTCTTTAACTGATAAATGAGATGCTAGTTACATGATATACTGTAATCTTTATTTGTTACCCTCCACTCCTTAATCGATAAATGAGATGTTAGTTACATGATATACTGTAATCTTTATTTGTTTAGCCGATAAATGAGATGCTTGTTACAGTGGGGTATATGCGCTTTGTCCACCGCGTAGAATAGAAACTTGAATTGTAACATTGTAAGTCTTAAATACCAAAATATTTATTTACTTGATAAAAAACACCATTTCGTAAACTAATTTGAAATAAAAGACTAAATTTAATCATTCAAAACGCATTCATGCACATCTGTACTTCTGTAATGGAATATATTAATTTGTAGACATATTTAATACCAGTATTGACATTATTAAATTACTTTTGTTTGTACCTTCATAATGTACAAAATACCAGTAGCTCATAATTCAGTTATTTTATATTTTAAACAAAAGTAATGTACAATTCAAGTACGTTACATAATATCGGAGTAACGGATAAAAAATAGCAGTACGTAATTCAGTTACTCTTTACAATAATAAAGGAATGCGTACAACAAAGATATAACGTATAATATAATATACTTTACATATAATAAATCAGTGCTAATAAGAAAGGTAATGTACAGAAACTGTTAGAACTGACATTTAGAAAGTTTTAATGGTTAAACTAGGTTTAATTTAGCATAGTGTTGCGTCACCGAGGTCACGTGACTAGTATCACGCCACGTACTTCTCGAACCTTCGTGAATTATCGGGAGACTACTAGATTGGGGGTAGTCTGGTATATATAAGATGGTCACAACGTGACGGAACAATGAGTAATTGAATGCATGCGGATAAAATATTGTTGGCCACGTGAGACGTGAGCGTTTGTTATAGAGCGACTGTTGAAATTAAGTGTATCGTAAAGTTGTATTCCGAAAGAATAAACCAGTTTTATTTAAGAAAGGACTTGTGTCGCTAAAGTTTCGTCGGAACGAATTTACAGAAAATTAATTAACGAACAGAGACGTAACAATACTAAAAAAGTCTTTCGTCTATTTTATTTTTATTTCAGAAATAATTTACTTTATACTTAGTTTCTTCCTGAACAACATGTGATTTAACAAGAAAAGCCTACTATAAGCTCTTGTACGACAAATTTTTAATATGGAGTTATTGTACCTTTCAAAAACATAGAAAATATAATTGAAAAGGATATTGCGTTATGGAGCTTGGTGACCTATACGTGACACAGTTTTTAAGTTCTTAAGAAATTGTCCGTTTCTCTGATGTACTGCGCAAAGTTGATAAACCGACTTTCGATATGTTGTTTTCTGAGAGTGACAACCTGCTTCACATGTGGCAAAGCGATAACGAAGCAGCGATAAGCAAAAATGTGGACAATTTCCTTTGAGAAAACTCGGTTGGAAACTGGAAGCACTGAAGACTAGAACTGAATCTAAAGACGTTAACAAGGGAAAGAACTCACTAACTCTTGTCATTTATCAAACTTCTGTAACTCGTAATTAGATTCGAGTTGGGATCTGACAAGACGTGCCACTTACCAAATAGTATTATATAACTATACAGGTTTCCCATTGCTTCATTTTACCTCAGAAGATCATGTGCGTACAGAGACAAAATAAAATCAGAAGAAAATGTAGTCCGCAACAGAAATACGAAGAAATACAGACATGTTACTTGGAAATCATCCATCTGATTTTCTATCCACTGTAAGAGTTGCTTTGTAATCTCTAGCGGAGCATCACGTAGTAGAAAGTTTGATTAAAATGAGCCGTTTTTTATTTTGGGGGGAAGTTATATTAACTCATAAGTGCAGTTGCTTTGTATCTCTAGAGGAGCATCACGTAGTAGAAAGTTTGATTAAAATGACTTATGAGTTAATATAACTTCCTCCAAAAATAAAAAAACGGCTCATTTTAATCAAACTTTCTACTACGTGATGCTCCGCTAGAGATTACAAAGCAACTCCACTTATGAGTTAATATAACTTCCTCCAAAAATAAAAAAACGGCTCATTTTCATCAAACTTTCTACTATCACTAGAGATACAATGTAACTCGAATTATAATTCCATTACTTTGGATACCCACTTCCTCAACCCATCCATTTGTAGATCAGTTTGTGTTATTAAATTTCTTATTCAAAACCTTGATTTTTTGTAAAGATGTTATGGTCTGTAAGAAGTAACTCTTCTATGTCATGCTTATATTGTTACTTTTGTCATGTTTAATATGAGTATACCATGTTTCTCATCTGATTATTAAAGGTTGATAGTTCCCTCACCGCTTCACCAAGTTCAAATATCGTTAATCACCACTTTATTCTTTCCATAAACTGTATTGTGATTATGTTTTTTATTCCTATCTTCTTTTACATTTTAATTTCGAATGTCAATTAACTTATTCAAATAATTTATTTAAGACATTTGTACATATATTACTTACCACTCTCATTGTTATATAATTTCACATATTACGACGCTGAAGTTTTAACTATACAACATAAGCAAGAACATTTATTTGTACCTATTGTCAGTGCTTCCTCCCGGTGGCTTAGAGGTAAATGCGAGGATCAGTTACACCTATGGGCACAGTGCAGGTAGCTCATTCTGCAGCTTTGCGCTTAACAACAAACGAATAAATTATCAGTGCTCACCATTCAGAACTTGATTAATTATGTTCCTCTGGTATTTCTTTCAGTTAATAAATGAGTAAAATTTAATTGAAATATAACAAACCAATAAAGAATGTTAATGCTTTATATATTACTTATTTTTCACATGATGTTCTCCATGTTTATCGGAAATTTAAGAACGATTCGGTTAGTGTTTACATGACAAATTATGAATTACAATACCAGGATAGCATAGTAAGAGTTCTCGTTTATTCTAACAGGTTCTTGTGCTTTTTTTGTGGTTATTACTCCTCTCGGGTCTTCTCAAGGACGCAGTGTTTAAGATTTAAACTATATAACGCTGTTAGCTGTGAAAGACTCCATAAGGTGGGGGCTAAACGTGACATAAATAAATAAGTAGCATAAGGTAGCTAAATTTGTCTGAAGAACCAATTTAAATTAACACCTCAAAATAACAAACAATCAAATTTGCAGCTGATAAATCTTTAGCTTAAAACTTGCTCAGTACGTCTCTTCATCTCGTTCAGGATGACAGTTTCAACAATAAACAATGGAATTAAATAAAAAATATTGAACATTTCAGTAAAGTCAATAATTGTTTATTTTGTATTATGTAATCGCTTTTATCTATATATTCTTCTATCTATCTATCTATATATATATATAAACCACTCTTTGTTCATAACGCTCGACACTCTGTTGGTAACGTTCAAATTGGCTCAGTGGTTTGTCACAAGAAGTCTCTAGTTTATATCTCAGTCGAGTGGTTTTTTTTATAACTCCTTTTAATTATTAATTCATCATGTTTAGAACATGATATTACTATATTAGGAAAACCAGAATACATGATAATTTACATTAGGGATTTGAATTATTCGTCAACATTCAATTAGAAAGACTGAGTATTACAGTGGTTATAGAGCTCAACTATAATGCGTTCAAATCCAAGGCGAGTTAGGATTTTATATTAATCTTTTTATTATTATATTTGTTTTTTAATATATTTATTATCATATACATAAAAAGATCTTTGAATATTTGGAAAAATACGGATACAATTTTGGATTAAAACAGGCATAAATAAAATGATATTACATAATAAACACCATTGACTGTGTGTCAAAACAACTTAAATATATTTTCAAACCAATAGATGGCGATACAATACTTTATTATTGGTGTTTTTCACATATGGGAAGACATTTTTAAAAATGCAGACAAAACTTAAGAGGTTTTTTTATGAAAAGTTATATCTTCGCGCATTTGCCCTTCACCATCATATTTTTTGCCCTTGCTATCCCAATTAATAAATTGAAGGTCAGACAGTTGACTATGTAGAAATATTTCTTGGAGAACTAGTTTTTAGGATGGCTAAATTTGTAGGCTTTATTAAAAAGCAAATTTGAACATAACAAAAAATATACAAATGTTAAAATTATAATAAAGAACCACTTACATGAGATGACCAAATATACACAAAAAAGTGTTGTTTTCGTGAAATACTAGAAAAAAAAGATAAAGATTCTTTATACATTTATTGTTACTATAATATAATTAATTTTTATAAAATATGTTCATAAAACAGTTATTTAGATTTAAGTTTCAGAAGAAAAACTAATCAGCATTTACCGTCATATGATGGGCATTCAGCTACTTATAAATAATACTTTGTCTATATTCTAGTAGTTGATCCAATCTCAGAAGTTCTTATGGTTTCTTGTTGTTTCGCTTCCACCCATGCAGTTGATTAGATAGATTGCTAAATGGACGGGTTAATAGGTCAAACTTTTTACTTTTCAACTTCCGTTCTCTATAATTAAATACTTTCTTTTATAGTGACAAATTGCTTGAAGATAATTTGTCGTATTGTTCAAAAAAATTGGTAACATTTTAAACAAAGAACCGTTACTACACCTCGCCTGGAACAGTGATGATTAATAGATCCCGGATGAGTACGGCATTCGAATGATGGTCTGACTAGAACCACCAAGGGAACGTTACTCTTTGGCCAAGGTCTTTCGATGATTATAAGGATTTATCTAACTTGTCAAGCTGAAATATTATATCTAACCAGAGAAAGAAAAAACACAGTCGTGATAAATTCGATGACTGTAGATCAATGCTGCGTGAAATGTGAACGTCGATGACAGGAAACCAGTGTTTAGAACAAGAACAGTGAAGTCTCACTCACTGTTTAAGAAAGAGAATTCTAACGGTTACAGAGATGTCAGCTTCCTGTCATAGACGTGTGGAACAGCTCAATGATAATAATTTTATCACTTGAAGCCTAATATTGACATAAATTGAAGTATACAGAATTGCACTGTAAGGCCGCTACAATTCAAAACTGATTTCACTATAATCGTATATCTGTAAAAGCGTTCGAACGTGTGTACTATATACCTGAAAAAATTTTGTTTTAATTTAGCTAAATTCTTCACTTTCTTAAACTATACAGAAACAAAACACGGTGTTTTCTCAAATATTACAGAGTCTTATGATTATATTATAATTAAATCTGCTGTGTATGTTTTAAAAGATATTTAAACGCAATGAAATCCAGACCACATTTGATGTCGTGAAACGTGGGTTTCGAAAGGCTTATAAAAAAAAAAAGAATAAAAACAACAACAGTTCGTTGTATAAAATGTGCACAAAGGTGCTAAAGATAATAAAATATGAGTATATAAAAAAAAGTTTGTCGTCAGAATAAAATGAACGGTTAATTATTTATAAAAATGTAAAAGAAGTTTGATAAAAGTTAGTTTTATTTGTCAAACGAAAGATATTTTCTTGTGTAACACTTAGTACGACTTTATAATGGCTGGAGACGGCTTGAATGGGTAATGAAGAAAAACTTTAATACAACAGCAAATGTATAACTGGTACCTGATGATGACAAAACCTTGTCGAAACGTTATACATTTGCTGTTGTATTAAAGTTTTTCTTCATTACCCATTCAAGCCGTCTCCAGCCATTATTAGTCTCAAAGTGGGTTCTTCGTCATCGAATTAGTACGACTTTATATTAAAGACTGAGCAAAAATATCGATGCTCGTACATGTGACCTTTTTTAACCTTTCTAGTCTCCTTCATCAAACTTAAGAATTAGTTTGCCTATCTTTAGGGTAATTATTTAGAAAATAAAGTGTTTCTTGTCTATATTTAAATATATTTTTAGCCAAGGCATAGCGGCTCATAGAATGGCTCTTTTAGCTCATAGCTCCGTCATCTTTTGAGATCTAATTACAGGACTCAGGAGGCCAAACCCTTTCCATTGATATATTTGACCATGCCTAAGGTCTCATAGATTAAGTTGCAATAATCTTGCCTAAAATAATTTCAATTTGAGGGTAGGTTGGTAGAGATCCTGATGAGTAATAAAATTGAATCGGCTATACACGTGCCCCACGCTTCGTATTGCTGGCGCACAAAAATATAGCTAATAAAAAGGAAAATAAAAGGTCCTATAGATTAATTTACTCTAATCCTGCCTAAAAGAATTTCAAGTGCCGTGGCTATTTAGGGTTCCCTCTTGTTTTATTTATGTACAGGATGGGACAAAAATGACACTTGTTTTATTGAGAACACAATTGGCACCAGCTTATGTTCCTCAATAAGACATTAGAAAGTAAATTGTGTTCGTAATATTTTCTTTAGTGCCAACTACACTAATCGTATAGTATGAACTATTGTTAGAAGGTGTTTACTGTTGATATTTCAATACAGCATGTTATTTTCAATTATGATATAGTGTGCTTATTGTTGAAGTAGGTTAAAGAACAACCACAAAACTAAAGCGTTTTCGCAGAGTTGTATTTTTTCCATAGGGTTTTTTATTTTTTTATGTAAATTCTTCCTATTTTAACAAAATATAGCATCTCAGATTTGTATTTTATATTCATTGTTTTTACTCTAATACAAAACATGTGTGATTATATTTGAAGTTTTTATAACTACTTATATCGTTCTAGCAGTTGGTTCTTGCCTACCAGTTTATGGACAAACTGAAGGAAAACCTTGTACCCAGGACGCAGACTGTGGGGAAGGATTTCGTTGTGAAGAAAATACTAACGCCCTCGTGCGTCATTCTTGCCAGTTAGACGCTCGTGATGTCAGGAAGAAACAATACAGTAAGTTTGTCAGTTAGCAGTTGGTTTATTGGTTATTGGTAAGAAGGAATCTGCCATCATGATGGTATCTGGAGAACAACGTTTCGGCCCACTTGCGTTTTTATTTTTACATCGAATTTAAAAAGTAGTTTGTCTGGGTAGGATTAGCTTAGGTACGACGTTTCAAAGTTCTCACCACACTTTAATCTGCTTTTCTATCCAGTTCGTGATAAAATTTGACATCGAATTTCAAAAGTAGTTTGTCTGGGTAGGATTAGCTTAGGTACGACGTTTCAAATGTTCTCACCACACTTTAAGCTGCTTTTCTATCCCGTTGGTGATAAAATTTGATATCGAATTTCAAAATTAGTTTGTCTGGATAGGATTAGCTTAGGTACGACGTTTCAAAGTTCTCACCACACTTTAAGCTGCTTTTCTATCCCGTTGGTGATAAAATTTGACATCGAATTTAAAAAGTAGTTTGTCTGGGTAGGATTAGCTTAGGTACGACGTTTCAAATGTTCTCACCACACTTTAAGCTGCTTTTCTATCCCGTTGGTGATAAAAGCATATATGACTAATCTTTCAAAACGTTTTTCCTTATGTTATCCTACTTAGACAGTGCCGGGTGTGGCCTTTGTTAGCGTACCGGCGTGTGGATAGAAGGCCCACAATTCGCACGGCGGTGCCTTTTTTTTTGTTGTTGTTGATATTCGTTTAGTTTAAAGAGTTAGCAGGGTGTAAACTCTTCCCAATTGGGGTGCACGGGAATATTTATATTCCCCTTTGTCTCTGAATACGTTTCGCATTTTCAGCTGTGTATGACAGGGAAGCCCTTGTTGCGGCGAATCATGTTAACTGTCTACCTTTTCTCTGATCACTAGTTCAAAACTAGAGATAGTTATATTTGAACCCCAGAGGTCTTTAACTTGGTCACTTAGCCAATCTACGCTTAAAGCGCCGTTCGTTTTGAAAAAAAAATACCTACAACGACAGACTATATTAAAATGAAACAGTCAGTTTTCTGACAAACATCGCTAGTGATGGGCTGACTGTGTTCTACACTTTTGTTATATCTGTTCGGAAGGTTAAAATGGTTACAAAACAAAATAAAATATTTCACTTTCGAGTAATTACAGGTTTTTTCTCGTCATCTCCGGCATCCAATAAACACATTAGTTATTGTTTTTAAAGCCAAGTTGGATTTTTGAAAAAATAATTACATATGAGATGTTTGATCGGAGTACAATGTGAAACTAATAAGAATTGTTTGCCGGAATGTAATATCTCGGTACAACAGGTAATTGTCAAGTATTGAAATATATTATAAATATTAAAATATTTAGTATTGCATACTAACGATACTGAGGTATAACACTTGGTCTAAATTAGTGATTTCCTATTGTACAGTTATTTTAAATCTATTATTGTATTTTATTCAAACATCTTATGATGTGTAGTAAATGTAATGTATTATTATACACCTAATTTGGGGATGTCGTTAAAGAGCCTGCTTTACTTTTTCAAACAGATTTAACAATGTAGTTGAACGTGCTTATCAAGTCACCACAAGCGTGCAGAGTTATCTTTCGTTGTCCTGTTAGTTTATCAGTTTGTTATAATTGGTTTCGAAATTGTTTGATGAAGAATTAATAGCCTAGATTTGGACTCTCCGTGATACTCTTTCTTTTTTATTACACAGTGGGCCCGGCATGGCCAGGTGGTTAAGGAGCTTACTCGCAATCTAAGGGTCACGGGTTCGAATCCCCGTCACACCAACCATGCTCGCCCTTTCAGCCGTGGGGGCGTTATAATGTTATGGTCAATCCCACTGTTCGTTGGTAAAAGTGTAG